TCTCCATTTTCTGTTGCCCATCCTCATCCTTGTCCCATCCTCATCCATATCCCCATCTCCATCCTTGTCTCCATCTTTATCCCTGTCCCCATCCCCATCCCTGTCTTCATCCCAATGTCCATCCCCATCCCTGTCCCCATCCTTGTCTCCATCCCTGTCCCCATCCCCATCCCTGTCCCCATCCCCATCCCTGTCCCCATCCCCATCCCTGTCTCCATCCCTGTCCCCATTCCCATCCCTGTCCCCATTCCCATTCCTACCTTTACCCATTCCCGTCTCCCCATCCCTGACCCCATCCACATCATGGTCCCCATCCTTATCCTCATCCCATTTTTTCCTCATGCCCATCCCAATCCCTGTTCCCATCCCCCACAGGGATGTCCACTCCAGCAGGACCCTGCTCCCAAGGCCAGGACAGGACTCCAGCTCTTCCCAGGTGCATTTTTTTTGACCTGGCTGCTGCCAGTTTGGCTCAGGGAGTTGGGAAAATGCAATCCTAAAGAGCCTGGCAGCTCCTCCTTCCCAGTCCAGAAGATTCTCAGAGCCCGTGGTTTGGATCTTCAACAGCTCCCAGAGATCTCATGGAGCAGCAAGGCTTTCCTCCCTTTCCCTCCCCCACTTCCTGCCCATTGCCACCTCCGAGGTGCCACCAAATGCCACCATTCCCCATGGGAGTGCCATCCCAGTGCCATCCCAGTGCCATCCCAGTGCCATCCCAGTGCCATCCCAGAGACATCCCAGTGCCATCCCAGTGCCATCCCAGAGACATCCCAGTGCCATCCCAGTGCCATCCCAGTGACATCCCAGTGCCATCCCAATGCCATCCCAATGCCATCCCAGTGCCATCCCAGTGCCATCCCAGTGCCATCCCAGCTGGGATCTCTCCAGACAGAGGAGCTGCTGGTCCCCTGCAGTTCCCCATTTCCCTGGGGAGCCGTGGAGGTGTTTGAGCTTCAAAGAAAAGCCACATTTTGGCACGGGGAGCTCCTCAGAGGCTGCAGATCGTGTCCAGCTGGCCTGGACCCTGCTCCAGGTCCTAATGGTTTTCCATGGCCAGGCAAACGACTCCTTCCAGGGGTTGGAGCCAGCCGGCTGCCTGCAGCCAAGGGACAGCGGCTCCTCCAGATGTGGCCCTGGCAGTGACATTCCCTTGGAACAGCCGGGCTTCCAAACCAGCTCCATCCCAGCGGCGGTGGGAACTGCTTTCCAGGCTGAGCAGGATGCGGGGAATTGCGCTCTGCTAGGATGGAGGGGACAGAGGCCACAGGGACAAATCCCTGTCACTGCAACAGACGGGGCTCTCAGAGCGCGTCCGGCCGCTTCCCGAGAGAGGATTCCCGTCGGGAATGCCATGAATGTGTCCCTGATTTATTTCTCCCGACAGCCTGCAGGGGTTTGACACTTCCCTCCTCGTTATCTGGAATTCCTCGGGCATGGCTGTGCCTCGGGAAAGATGCGGTCTCCAGGCCAGAGAAGGGGGAAAAGCTCCAGGAAGCTGGAGCTGAGCTTTTGGCTGCTCCCAGCCCGGATTTCCAGGAGCACTCACGGAGTGCAGCTGCCGGGATTTGAGCTCTTCCTCCCCTCCACCCCCGCGGGTGCTCCGACCCCCCGACCCAAATGAAACCCTCGCGGATCCACGGGCGGCTGCAGAGCTCTCCGGGCGGGGATGATGGATGATGGAGAGGAAGGATAAACAGCGCTGACCCCGTGCGCGGGGGGCCGCTCGCTGACCGCCTGCCCTTGAGCTGCACGGCAGATTTTGGCCCCTGTCCT